ACAGGAATGTTTTAGGCCTTCCAGAAAATGCAACGCCTCACAGTCTCCGACACAGTTTTGCAACCCACCTCCTCAAGGAAGGCGCAGATCTCAGATCCCTTCAAGAACTTTTGGGACATACTAGCCTTTCTACAACCCAACGCTATACTGATGTTGCCATTGAATCCCTAAAAGAAGCATATGCTAATGCTCATCCAAGAATGAAAAATCAATGATGCCACGCACAAACAAAAGCAAAATTGTATCGTCGCTTTTGTAGACTAAGCTAATTTTTTTGCACAGCAAAATTTGACAAATCCCTTAGTACTCCTTAAAAAAAGGAGGGGATAACTTTTTAAAAGAATTTAAGCAAGCACTTATGCAAAGAAAAATTTATAAACTTTCGAAGTTAATTTTAATTCCTTTTTCATTCTTACTGATAGCATATTACAATTCTACGGACACTCTGAGCTTGCCCCTATCCCTTCAGAAAACAGCGCTCTACGTAAGGATATGAAAAAACTAAGGCAATACTATAAAGCTAATAGCAAATATCAGTCTCTTTATAAAATTAATGGATTTCCTTATTCCAATAAAGACTTTGGGGGAAATATTTCTAAATCATATGCTCTTCAAAATGATTTAAGAGCCAATATAGCGGATGTTTTTTTGCGAAAAGTGTTTGGGAACAATACACACGGTATAAAAATTTTAGACGTAGGGTCTTGCTATGGCTACAAGCCATTACCTTGCAGATAGAGGTTATATCTGCCATGGCCTAGAGATGTTCGGTCGGTACGTCAAAACCTCTGCCCTAGTTTCTAAAATTCATAACCTCGAGAATGCTACTTTTGCTCTTCAAGATATGGATATAAACTTCGCAGAACACAACGCAGATCAGTATGATTCCTGCCTGATGTATTCATGCTTACAGTACGTAAATCAAAAATTTGGGACAGATTATACTCAAAAACTAATCAAAGCCATTGTTGATAGGTTGCCTGTTACACTTATAGAGCTCCCTACAAAAAAAGAGTATACTTCATCTTCACAAAAAACAAAAAGAACAAAGGATCGTGCAGAAAAATACCCCGCGAACAATCAAGTATTTTTCCAAATGATCTCCCAAGATAATGATATTTCTATTACTGATTTACCAAGCAGGTATAGAGGTGGAGGCAGAAAAATGTATGTCATTATCAATAAAAAGATATTGGAAAAAAGAGGTATCAATTACAAAGATTAATTAGCAACTCCGCGGGACTTACACCCGTGGCGTTTCATTGGCTTTTTGTTAAATATCTTTTTTATATTAACTAATGGACTTATTTTTTCATTTGTTAAAAGTGAATTGCTCTCTTAGCAACATCTAGAGCTGCTTCTTTGACCGCTTCGCTTTCAGTAGGGTGCGCGTGACATGTCCGTGCGATATCTTCAGTGGAAGCTTTGTATTCCATGGCCATTGCTACTTCAGCAATAAGGCTACCCGCTGTTGCGCCAATAATGTGCACACCCAGCACTTCATCTGTGACTTTATCGGCTAAGATTTTTACAAAACCTTCCGTTTCATCATTCGCTCGCGCCCGGGAATTGGCCATAAAGGGGAATTTTCCAATGGCATAGTCAACGCCGTCTGCTTTCAGTTGTTCTTCTGATTTCCCAATACTTGCAACTTCTGGGTGTGTATATACGATTGCAGGAATCACATCATAATTCACATGTGGCTTTTGTCCTGCCAGCATTTCCATTAAAGCAACACCTTCTTCTTCTGCCTTATGAGCGAGCATTGCTCGCCCAATAACATCTCCTATGGCGTAGACTCCGGGAACAGAAGTCTGATACCCATCATTGACCTTAATAAAACCACGCTCATCCAAGGCAACCCCTAAATGGTCCAAGCCAAGCCCTTTTATGTAAGGCCACCGTCCAACAGAAATCAGCAATGTATCACAATCTAGATTTTCTTTTTCTCCCCCTGAAGCGGGTTCCAAATTCAAGCTC